AACAGATAGGAGATACGAGAAGGCCAAGGAAAGACGAAGGATATTTGAGCGAAATTTCTTTTCCCGGCATCAAGAGAAGACATAGCGCAACAATCTCGAGCGGTACCAGTGATCCCAGTTCCTGGATCCTAATGCGATAAACACCGTGCTTGTTAAACAAGTGAGCAGCAAGATTATCAGCCCGCTTTGATTCCGTGACCTCCGACCTGCATACATCCTTCAACTGGGCAGTCTACCCGGTCATTAAGGTGCTTTGCACGGTAGTGTAGTGTCGGTTAAAGGCTTGCTTCGTCTTGAAAGGTGTGGGCCAGGAGCATTTCGGGGCCTTGCAGGTGAATCTGCGAGGAGCGCAAGTATGAGGGCCACTATAGCGGTGATGCAATTCGTGTTAGTATCATACCGTAGTTGCGGGCATAGAGGGGGGTCGCTAACATGGCGCCAGAGCACTTTTGGTGTTGGCAGAAAATCCTCGAACCCGGACGGGCGCTCCCCGGAGGGTTTGCGGGTGCAATAGGGATGACGATATCGCTTTCCCGTTTTGCCTCACGAGCTATCACAGAAGTGTCGGTCTGGGCGGTGGTACCCTTCAATGGTCCGGGAACAGAGAATCATCCATCGTCGTCAAGGTACTGTACAGTACAGCGGAAGATTGCTAAGTGCTGAGGGTAATCCAAGTCGGTTGCCAAGCCCATCGAAGGAAATCAAGGAGAAGGCGGCAGTTTGCTCGGCTGGTGGGATAAGGCGGTGCTTGCAATCTGGGAAGTTAAAAAAAAAAGAGCAAATGAAAACTTACATAATGTTACGTAGTAGTGAGTAAATGTGCTGAAAGTGCGGGAGCTTGATAGCTTGACACGCGGAATTTGGGGATCAAGCAGGAAGGGGGAGACATCAGAATAATATTTGAATTGAGCGTTAGAAAATGAATTGCACTTTTGTCTCAGCATATTTTTATTCGAAGAAATGCATGAGCCTGAAATTAGCGACTTGCCGCCCAAGTGGGCCAATTGTTGACTGCCAAAATGATTCTGAGACATAGGTGCTTACTGTACTAGTGGTAGTACAGACCAGCAGACCAAAGCTGGTCCATAGATCCCCAGCTAAACTGAATTTGCAAAGGTTGCCGCTCTGGGGAGTCTAAACGGTCGAGTGGACCAATGCCCCCATTTTTGCTTCAAACACACGGTGCTAGAATTTATGGGCCCGGTGTTCTCCTTATCGCGCCCTGCTTGGTTTGGCTCGTTGTCATGAAATTTAGTCATTGATATCGACCGGTTGGGGGGTGTAACGCGTTTTTGAGTTGGGAAGACGCAGGAACAGGCAGGGGTGTGTCCCCTCTACGGATGTTTCCCCTCCACGGGTCTTTACACCAAGTTCGTCGCGCAATAGACATTTTCAATTTGACGGTTCCCGGGAGGTCACTTAGTTGAAAACAATTTGAGTTTTAACATTATCTTGAAGGTCACTTCGTGCTCAATCTCCCTCCGTGGATCCGTGGAATTGAAATAAAATACTTGTATCATTCAATAGAATACTAAAGCAAGCCGATAAGAAAAGAGGGAGGAAAAAATGGATAAAAAAACAAGTAACTAGGAAACGTACACCAACATCAAAGTCGGACTCCCCAAGAACATTCGTTCCAACCGCCCACCGAATTTCAATTGTGTCAAGGCCGGAAACTACTCAACACCAATGATATCTTGTGAGCATCAAGACCCTCTGCCGGTTAGCGCGGGATCGACGAGTTAAATTGATCCCATGTTTTTTTAATACGTGAGCGGGAAGGTTATCCTTTCTTTTGATCCCCTTATCGCCAACCTTCTCGCACCCCGGGATCGGACAGTCGACGCGTAAACCGAGATGCTTCACCTCGCGATGGCGGTCTAACGCCTGCTTGGTCGGAAATGAGGATCGCCAACTGCAGCCAGGTTCGCTGCAGAGATAGCCCCTCTTTTCCGAGCGGGTTTGTTGGACACTATAGAATTATCAGAGAGGAACGTATGATAAGGGGCCATAGGAGGGTGTATGCTTGAGGGAGAAGTTACAAACCCTCTAGTAGTACTAATACCGGGGTAAAACGTAGAGTGGTTACAATGGGTAACCGGGGCGACTGCAGCGTAGGGAGGAAGGGTAGTGAGGTCTAGTGGACCGTTGACAGAGTGAAAATCATCATCTTCAAGATAGAGTGGCATCTCCCCAAGTCCTGCCGGCAGCGGTTCTGGACTTCCAGACTCGCTGGTTGAGACAAGGCTGAGCTCACGTAGCACGAGCACAGCACCTCCTTCACAATTGCTTGAACTGAAGACGACATCAAGAGCACTGGGATAACTATGGTCAGCAAAAGCAAAAAAAAAAACCTACGCGGGATCCTTGCAGAATTTATTCATGGTGTGTGCCATAATTATGCAAGCAAGGGGATAAAAAGCCACAAGCGTGAAGCTTAGTCTTGGAAAGATGAGGATGGGGCACAATCTGCTCGGCAGCAGGGTCTTCGGGTCGCGAGAATTAGAAAGTCTTTGTAGGGAGATTTGTCGAGATTAGTTTGTTGTGTTGATCTTCTGTCAGGATAAAGCATGAGAGTTTCGCGGTCGTGGAGCGGGTTGTAGGGTTTTTATGTTCTCATTGAAAGGAATTGCACTATTTGCAATTGGTTAAGGTAGAAAATACCCCCAAAGAATCCTGAGACATATCCCATACGGAGCCTATTTCCTGCGCCTAACCATATTCGGGCATACTATGCACGTGGCCGGAACCAAAACAGATGCGGAGTGTGAGGGTTCTCACCGCGATAGCCATTCACAACCCTCTCACCACTGATCCTGTTGGGCAATCCAAACCGGATCTCCATCGATACGAGGTAATTCCCCGGATTTTATCTCCCCCTTTAAAACTTTGATCTGAGCTGGACCAGGAATCCCAGACAATGTCATTTGGTCCCCGATCCTCTTCGCTTTCGGATGCATCTTATTGACTAGAAGGTGTGAGGTATGATCGTACGATTTTTTCCGTTCGGGTCACTCTGCTCCCGATTTCTGGCGCTACACCGGTTGTAACGTTTTTGCGTTTTGTAGGACGGACTGCTATTGAACACCTCCAAAATTCCGAGTCTCTGGAGGAAACCAGATGCATGTCGTAGTAGCCCGTTTTAAACCCCTTTGGTTACCAGCACTTGTGCGAGTACATGCTATGGATGGGTCTATCTGTGGGGCAACGAAAAATCCTAAAAGCGGCACAGCAGGAACTCCAATGCGGGGCGTGCGGGGTTAGGAAATGAGTGTGATTGGGGGCCTAGCAAAAATACTGCAAGCAACCCACAAGCATTATAATCCATAGCCCGCTCCGCACTACGGCTGGGATGTGTTACCCAGGAAAACGAGATCTACAAAGTATCCTCACTAGATTGGCAATAAATTAAGGTATTCTTGCTTCAAAAGAAGGTCTCATCTCGCAGGTCTCTTGGAATCAGTGACGGATTATGGGATAGGAGATTGTGGGGCCATGGCAGGCGCCTTATCTTCTCGTACAAGTGGGGTTCGGCTATCTTAGGAAAAGCTGTGTTGACGAGGGGTAGGTGAAACCCCGAATGGCCCCACCTTAAGCAAGCTCCTAGAGGTGATTGGGCAGACCCTCACGAGGCGAATATGACCTGTCCGAAATGCCAACGCACCGATAGGGTTAGTGATTTCCTCGGGTAGTCACGGTGGTGTGGTGGGGGCCGTTGGGATTTGTTTGTAGGGGGGTCGGCATGTCGGAGTGCGTCACGGCGGGGGAGATGATGCAGGGTGCAACCCCCAAAAAGAGGGTTGTAAATGCTGGTGATTTTTAAACTACGGTACTCGAGTACCGGTAGTGTATACTCGAGTAGTCAGAGCCAAGTTGGAAATCGTGGCGCTCTGACATAACTACATGCCTGACCCTTGCACAGAGGACCGCACTTGTCTGAATTGGGGTGATGAAATAGGCTTTTCTCTAGAGCCTGAAACTCCCTGCTTGCAATTACCCCTCACTGCCTGCCACGACTGTGCCCGGCCGTTTAGGCTGCAGGCACTGGGGTGGCCAAGTTGGGAAGCCTGAGACACTGATAAGAACGGTAAGTGCCGCTGGGGGAAGTCATGTGCTTTGCCGCTCCGAGTGATAATCCATGATGCGCAGGAATCACCCACACGGCACTGGAATATCTATCATGCATGTCAGCATAAGATTGTGTTTAGGGTTGCCCCGTGGTGGCTGATTGAGTTCCCGGTGTTAGAGTCTTAGAGGAATCAAGGGTGCCGCAGTCGACCGTAGAAGAGATGAGGTTGTTGTGAATTGTTCAGGGGTATTGTTCATGGTTATCATTGTTTATGATGCAGGCTCTCCAGACGTGCCATTCCTCTGTGATCAGGGGAGTTCAAAGGAATTAAGAAATCTCTGAAGACAGAGAGATATGCGTGAACATCCGTAGAAGGGCCGGGGTCGTTCGGTTAAGTTTTATATATTACCGTGTTTACTGTTTGTGAGAAAGCAGGGAGAAACCGAGGTTTTCCGCTTATACCTTTCATACGCTTCCTACCTTCACTACTCCACTTCTTTGCCCAAGTAATCCCGCCCGCGCAACTCCTGCCCCATTTGCTATTTTTCTCAAGGTCTGGGAAGTCTTTCAGCTCCTCGCTCTACTTGGTCGAAAATTAAGTTTTTCCACCGATCAACAAAAACACACATCAGAATACAAGGCTCATTGTACTATGTCCTAGCATGCAGGCAAGCGGCGGACTCAAACCCGCAGTGTGGAAAAATGATAAACGGTCGGTGGGAGTATTGAACACCTCTTCCTAGTCTTGTAGCTCCGAAGGCGGCCGACGAACCCCTTACCTCGTGTTCTCACCGGCTTTCGGGTAGGGTAATTGGCCCAATCTTCTCCCATAACCTCTACCCCGGGGGTTACGCACTAAAATGTCCGAAAACCCCCGTCAGCCATTATAGAGAGTGGTTATTTAGTTGACTTGTACGGAGGAGATGGCCCAGAAGTATCACTTGTGAGCCGTAGGCACCATGGCAGCGATAACGACCCGGAGGCCCAAGGGATAGGCGGGAACGTGGCAAAGTTGGGGTGAGCAGGAAGTAATAAATAGGTGGTAGGAGGGGAGCGGTAGCAATTTCGGGCGGTTGAGAACATCGTTTGAGAGTTTTAGATAACATCCCGTCTGTCCTAGTGTTTGGTAGGAAGTCTCTGGGTCAGGCTATGCAAGAAAATCTCTGGTATGGTGTATTGTAATGGTTAGTAACCGGTATTATTTCGCTTACTTATCAAGGGGAGATACCAATACATTATAGTGAGGTGACAAAAATCGGGCAGTTGTCTTCCTTACACAAAAAACAGTCATTTGAAGAGCGGCTGGCCCGATACATGAGAAGAGAGATTCCCTTCTACAAAGCTGGTGTAATTTCTGCGAGTTGATCTCTTACTATGCTTTATGTTCTGGCTTGTTGTGATCTAAAATTGATTCGGCTTTGCACGGGGGTGCATACTAAAGAGAGATGACAACCCCCTTTATTTTAGTTTATCTGGTTTCTCGGTTCCGGGGACCTTCTATTCAATATCCCTTGTCGGAAGCTTCTCTCTACCTGTTTCGTAGTTTTATCCGGCCTGAAGGGTAGCCCCCGGCTTCGCCGGGGTTGAGAAAATAGTTAGTGAGGGTGGCTCGGCTTGGGTGTAGAACGGCCATGGGCTCGGATTTTTTGTCCGGGCCCAGCAAAGCCCGCGCAGGCCCACCAAGTTGTGGGCCGAGCCGACCAAAACCTAGCCTGACCCATGGTGGCCTCTGGGCCACAGCTAAATGATGACTAATACCTATAACCCATAGTTTCAGAACCCTACCGTAGTATCCCTGAACCCTAAAGTAAGATTCCTGAATCCTAGGATGATGCACTGGCAATAAATCTCTCTAGTTCTTGCCTTCTCATGAGACTAGTAGTTCGTGTAGTAATGTTTTTGCTGTCGTCTTTTAGCTTGCAAATTTTCAAGTAAAATATGATACATGATAGAATTTTAGATAAGCCCTACTTTCTGAGATTTTATTTGTTTTCTTCTACAGGGCTATAAACCTATTGGAGGGTGGGCCAACCCAAAGCCCGTGGGCTTTTGAAACTAAGGCCCGTACAGGCCCACCCCACGGCAAGCACTGCTTGTACGGTACTGCGGGATTTAGTGACAAAAATTTACTCTGCTTTAATATAAAGTGCTAGAAAAATACGCCTTGGGTAGAACTCTAAATGTTACCACGCGGCTCGTTCGGATTGGCACCAACAATATTGTGCTGGGTGACCGAAATGTGCACCAGAATTTGTATAACATGTTCCTCACGCTTCAAAATTGGCCCCATCGCACACTTGACAAGGATAAAAAATCACTATCGTCCCTGGTGGTGAAGTGTTGGTTGAATGGGGTGTTTAGTTCCGGGTATCAGGGAGTAGTTAAGTAAGGGTGGCTCTACCCGTTGGAGGGGTCATTTTTCTCGCCGTTGGACATGAAACAATACAAACTCTTGCCGGGGGGGTAGGGCCAGCCGTTGGGTGGCTAACAGATAGCGTAGTTCCCTTCCTCCATTGATGTCCCCATTCCTGACCACACTCCCATGATAACTGAGAAAAGTCATGTCAGTAGAAACTTCTCCGTAGATCACAAAAGCTCGATCTCCTCTGATCACTCCCGCGATCACCCACATACACTTACGGCCCCTCTACGACGGCTAGCACCTTCCCACTATGATTGAACCTTCTGGGTAGAAAAATCCCAGAGTTTGTTTTATAAACTCGGTCTCCTCCCGCCGTTTGGGAACCGCGGGCTAGACCACAACGAATGAAGGCGATCAGGAAGCAGGTAATATCGCAGGGGGCTATGGACTTAGGGTGTCTGGGATATTTGAAGGCCAAACATGTGTGTAAAAACCATGGTGCTTCACGCTATTGCAAGAGCGAAAATTGTTGCTGAATAAGCGGCAGTCTACATAACAGGAACAACTACAGTAGTCACTCGTTGTCTTTCCTGCAGTATAGAATGGAAAACTGGTATAAACCATCTGCTTCGTCCTCGCTGATTTGCTGTTTGGGCATCGGTTTTTCTTTGCAACATATTCGATGTCATCAAAGTGGGGATATATATTAGATGACTGGCGTCTTTTTTCGTTAGGTGATTAAGCCGCTCAATCGACTAATCGATGCTTCCCCACGTTAATATCTGTATCCCTTGACGGCAGAGGCCGCTGGCAAGACGGGAGAGACAAATGTAGACAAAAATAGCTTGGGTTGAAGCTATTTACCTCTACAGATTTCTTGAGACTCGGGGGGATGAACATTCCTCGCCTCACTGCTCTACGGGAATGGAAGGAAGGAATCCCAACTGTGTTTCTCCGGCGCTCTTGCGGGAAAAATCGATTTTGGACCGCGTTTAACCACTCGAACCGTACGGGTTATATCATTCAAGGATGTGGCATTTCAATTCAAGCATCAACATTTCTATGGTTGTATCATACGTTAGCATAATTAACCGAGCATTTGGCGTGAGCGGCAACGCTCGCTCATGCA